TTCAGTTACCTCCCCCTGGGTCCCTCCCACAACATGTAGGAACTCTAGGAGATACAATTGAAGTTGAGATTTGGGTGGGGACACAGAGCCAAACCATAACATTCTGCCCCTGGCCCCTCCAAATCTAATGTACTCACATTTCAAAACCAATCACATCTTCCCAACAGTCCCTCAAAGTCTTAACTCATTTCAGCATTAACCCAAAAGTCCATAGTCCAAAGTCTCATCTGAGACAAGGCAAGTCCCTTCCATCTGTGAGCCTGTAAAATAAAAATAAAGCTAGTTACTTCCTAGATACAATGAGGTACAGGTATTGGGTAAATATATCCATTCCAAATGGGAGAAATTGGCCAAAACAAAGGGGTTACAGGGCCCATGCAAATCCAAAATCCAGCAGGACAGTCAAATTTTAAAGCTGCAAAATGATCTCCTTTGACTCCATGTCTGATATTCAGGTCACACTTACGCAAGAAGTGGGCCCAACACCAGCTCTGCCCCTGTGGCTTTGCAAGGTACCGCCTCCCTCCCAGCTGCTTTAACAGGCTGGTGTTGGGTGTCTGTGGCTTTTCCAGATGCATGGTGAAATATGTCAGTGGATCTATGGTTCTGGGTTCTGGAGGATGGCGGCCCTCTTCTCACAGCTCCACTAGGCAGTGCCCCAGTTAGGGACTCTGTTTGGGGGCTCTGACCCCACATTTGCCTTCTGCACTGCCTTAGCAGAGGTTCTCCATGACAGCCCCACTCCTTCAGCCAACTTTTGCCTGTGAATCCAGGCATTTCCATATATCTTCTGAAATCTAGGCGAAGGTTCCCAAACCTCAGTTCTTGACTTCTGTGCACCTGCAGGCTCAACACCATTGGGAAGCTGCCAAGACTTGAGGCTTCCACCCTCTGAAGCCACAGCCAGAGCTATACATATGCCCCCTTCAGCCAAGTCCCTAGGCTGCATACAGCACAGGGACCCTGGGCCTGGTCCAGGAAAACATTGTTTCCTCCTGGGTCTCTGGGCCTGTGATGGGAGGGGCTTCCATGAAGGTCTCTGACATGGCCTGGAGATATTTTCCCCATGGTCTTGGGGATTAACATTAGGCTCCTTGCTACTTATGCAAATTCCTAGAGCCAGCTTAAATTTCTCCTCAGAAAATGGGTTTTTCTTTTCTACTGCATCATCAGGCTGCAAATTTTCTGAAGTTTTATGCTCTTTTAAAACTGAATGTTTTTAACAGCATCCAAGTCACCTCTTGAATGCTTTGCTGCTTAGAAATTTTTTCTGCCAGATACCCTAAATCATCTCCCTTAAGTTCAAAGTTCCACAAATATCCAGGGTAGGGTCAAAATGCCTCCAGTCTCTTTGCTAAAACATAACAAGAATCACCTTTGCTCCAGTTCCCAACAAATTAGTCTCCATCTGAGACCACCTCAGCCTGGACCTTATTGTTCATATCACTATCAGTAGTTTTTTCAAAGCCATTAAGCAAGTCTCTAGGAGGTTCCAAACTTTCCCACATTTTCCTATGTTCTTCTGAGCCCTCCAAACTGTTCTAACCTCTGCCTGTTACCCAGTTCCAAAGTCGCTTCCATATTTTGGGGTATCTTTTCAGCAACACCCCACTCCTGTTACCAATTTACTGTATGAGTTCATTTTCATGCTGCTGATAAAGACATACCCAAGACTGAAAAGAAAAAGAGGTTTAACTGGACTTACAGTTCTGCATGGCTGTGGAGGCCTCAGAATCATGGCAGGAGGTGAAAGGCACTTCTTACATGGCAGTGGCAAGAGAAAAATGAGGAAGAAGCAAAAGTTGAAATCCTTGATAAATCCATCAGATCTTGTGAGACTTATTCACTATCACGAGAATAGCACAGGAAAGATTGATCCCCATGATTCAATTACCTTCCCTTGGGTCCTTCCCAGAACATGTCGCAATTCTGGGAGATACAATTCAAGTTGAGATTCGGGTGGGGATGCAGCCAAACCATATCACTAGGCATTATTTTAACAATTGATCTAAAACTAATGTTGATATCTTATATATTTTTCCAAGGTTGCTTTGGGAAAGCAGTTGACATTTTTCTCCTTGTGGAGTGTAGAAGAATAAAGTATGAGAAAATAGTGATTTAGGCATGTCTAGGCGCCAGACATTATGTTTCTCTGAGTGTATCCTTCATGATTATTGAGAAACTGATGATGAACAATACAGCATGTTTTAGGTATTTTTCAAATAATGGCATGAACTAAAGCCGACACATTCTCCCAAAAGGGAAAAGACAAGATTTTCTCTGAATGGAAAATTCATATTTGAAATGTCTGCATGAAATATATAAGCTACAATATTTTCATTTTGGAGCAGGAGAATACCTGACAGATGAAGGAAAGAAAAATGAGTTAAGTAAAATGAATACAAACAACTTTTAGTTGGCAGAAAAAAATAGATTTTAATTATGGAAAACATGCAAACAGACTAATGGCAAATTTGGAAACCTTATGTTTTTACAAATATTTAAAATTGCCTTTCAATCTTTGTCCCTTTACTTCTCTCTGTTAGTGATATGAGATTCTTTCTTAATGTTATCAAATCCCATTAAATCAACAGGTATTATGATGTAATTCAATGCCATGAATATAAGACTAATACAAAACACCTGATCAAATTCTTGATCATTTCTTTTCCTCCAAGTCTACTACTGCCAGAGTAGCAATTGTTCGAGATCTGATTGTAACAAATCTCTTTTAAGACTTCTCTGAGAATGCACAATATAATCAGGCTGATAGAAACATCAAAACATTTTTTCCATTGCGTTAATATAATTTGGTTTGTTATAGCTGACACACAGTAGAAGTCACACACAGTCTTATTCATGGATAAAGCAGGCAATTGCCCACAGTCTGACTGCATTGGCCCAGGGAATACACAACCTATGCACATGCCAATGAGGGAGCCTGTGCTTTGCACCAGTTGCTCCCAGTGCTTTGCACCAGTTGCTTTTTTTAGGGAGATTAATTTGTGTCCCAGCCTATTGCAGACATTGTTATTGCAAACACAGTTGCTAAACAAAAAATTACGGTTACTGTTATGTGATAATTTCATAAGCTTTTTTTTAAAGATTATAAAGGATCCTCCTATTAATAAAAGATTGGTACTCCACAGAGATTTATGTCAAATTAGAACATTATTAATTTAGAATAATAAATGTAATTTTGGTTCTCTCTCTATGGATGACTTGCTAAGAAGAGACCCTGAACCAGGGGAATTGGATGGATAATCCAATCAACCAGTGGCCTCTGGCTCAAATGATCCAACTGAACAATGCTTGCCTTCTTCACAGGACAATGCTAGAGACATTCTCTAACTCCTTTTCTACAGACATCCCACAAAATCAAGACATTGAAAGCCAGCTTGAGGCTGGTGAAAACCTTTTAAAAACCATACTTCCCAGCAAGAATGGACTGGGAAGAAATATTTACAAGGAATAGTGTCATCAGATGTCATTCTGCTTTTTCTTAAAATATCTAGGTAATGTTGATTATGTTTTGAATTATTCTGAACTTCTTCAATCTCTTACATTGTGTCATTCCTAAGGTCATTATATTTTATTTTAACATTTTCTTGATGTATTATACATACAATAAAAGGCACATATATTAAGTGTATAGCTCATTTACTATAATGAATTTTCATAAAGTGAACGTACCCTTGGAACCAGCACTGGTCAACAATAGAAAACTACCAATACCCCGAAGTCTGCCTTGCTCCCTTCCGATCACTAACCACCCACCTAAAGGTTAACACTATACTGACTTCTGACAACACAGACTAGTTTTATTGAGGGCTTAATAGTTTGGGTCATCAGAATTTTGTTTCTGGACAGGCATGTTGATTTTCACCTTGCTTTTGCCCCATGTCCTACCCTTAGCTAGGACACTGCCTAAGGAAGCTCCACTTAAATGGAACTTCTCCATGAGTGCAAGTGTGCTATGGGCCACCAAGATGCAGGTAGAAGCATGGAGCATGGGTGGCACTGGGGATGTGGAACTCACAGGGCAAGGCTGAAAGAAGGACCTAGAAAAAAGTGAGGTCCTTGGTAGAGCCCAAAGGAAAACTTCCCTGTCTTCACTCTTTTGCTTAGGGAAAGCCCTGGGAGCAGAGTTCTTATTTCTTTTTGCAACTTTCCTCTTGAGACCTCTGTGGTTCTTATTGTTAACTTTGCCATTGGTGCTTGTTGGAAAAGATTGAGTGTTGCTTTAATTACAAAATATCTTGGTGAGTATTAAAGACATACATACTGAGATTTATAAGATCATATGACTGTTTTATTTTAGTTCATTTCCAGGGAATGTCTTTTTCAGTGCTGGACAGGGCCTATATTTTCAATTCACCAACAGATTATTAGTCACTAACAAGAGGTATAAAGATCAGTCAAAGCAGAGTATTGCATCCTTAATGAGAGAGTGAAGGGTGAGTATAAATTGATGTCTTCAGGTGTAGATTCCTGTCAACTAGTAAGAAATGCTGAGAAAAGACATCAAGTAACTTACAGGATCACCCAGCAGCTCTGACTTGCTAAGGGCTAAAGTAATCCTGGTTATTATTTTTTTTCTTCTTTCTTTAAGGAGTATCAGTCTAGACGACCCCTGAATAAACATAGAAATCATCAGAAGTACTGTGACTTACTCAACTTAAGCAAAGACTGACAGCAGCACCATTGCTCTTCATCCCCAGCACAGTTCTTGGAAGATCAAATTTATAGAAGATCCATACTCAAGGAAATTCCTCAGTAGCCCTAAATGCTTTCTTTCCATTTTATTTGAGACTGGGCCTACTCATCCAAATGTAATAATGGTCTCAGGGTCAGAACATATGGCTTGTTAAGGTATCTTAAGGCAGTTATTACGTCTTCTGTCTGTTCTACTTTTATATGGTCCCTGGGGTTCTTTCCAGCAGGGCTAGGGCTTGGATTGGAGCAATGGGATGGAGAACTGTGCGAGGCTAGAGACTCACCACTCTGCTCCGGCATGTATGGGAGAAAATGGCCACCTCTGCCAGCTGGAAGTGGCTTTAGATGGTCCTGTGAAGTTTTGGTAGTCTCTAGGCTGGAAATAAAAGATCGTTAAGATATTAGGTCTCGGAGTTTTCTTTTAAATCCATTCTGAGCTCTTGGAATCACACTGTAATTCCCATAAAAAGAATGTTATGAATGAAGTACATCCACATTTACAGCTTATTTTACATCATACTTTGTTTCCTTGAACCTCAGTTCTCTTTGCTTTTCCAATTTTGATTCCTCTATGTATATATATATTTTTTTCTATTTTGGCTCCTACTCAAATTTTTCTCTTATGCCCAATAGTTTTCTTTTGATTTCTTTTTTTTTTTTGGGGGGGAAGACCTGCATTGGAGGTTATACCTGGATGTTAATGACGAGTTGATGGGTGCAGCACAGCAACATGGCACAAGTTATACATATGTAACAACACCTGCAACGTTATGCACTTGTACCTACAACTTAAAGTATAATAATAATAAATAAATTA